CATCCGGGTGAGGGGACTTCAATCTTGACCTTCCCCGTCCTCGTCACATGACCCAGCTTTATATAAGGATAAAAAAATAGATTGCATTAGAATGACTCACCCGATGAAGACATGTTTTACGACCCACAATGTAAAAGACGTGTAACATAACCTGCATTATGTTCACCACATCAAAATGCTCTGAAGCTTTAACTTGAGCCGCTGTGCCCAGAGGTGAGAGGTCAGAGAGCTTATCCTAATTAGTCGCAAGATGCTCTAAAACTGGATCTAAATGGCTCATGTAGGCATCTAGAGCCACATAACGCACCATGGTCTAGCATGGAAAAACATAATAAAAGACCCTGAGAGGGAGAGAGACAGCGAGAGGGAGAGCGAGAAAGACTGGGAGAAGGAAAGATGTGCAGCAGCACATTACGCTAATGGACATCCACTGTGGTGCCCTGGGCTTAGGACGGATTACAGTTCACGTCACTACGAACACCCACACGAACCCACTCACACACATAAACTTGAATCTACAGCAGATCCACCACAGCGTAATCTGCTTTACATTGGTGACATGCGCAACATCGCCCCTGTGTGCATGTGATGTGTATGCATACACAAAAACAACTAAAATGGAGGAATGTCTTCATCCGTGTTGTCAACATGAAAACAATTCTCTACAGCAATGTGTGGTTCATTAAAGGCTGCATATCTTCAGCCCTTAAATGATTAGCAAATATTGTGCTATGGAATCCTTCAGCTCTTAAACTCTTTACTGGGACTAATATAAAAGTTATTTGCTGCTGGACCAAAATATAAAACCAACATACTTTGCACGCACAAAGGGCTCCAGAGTGTATTTCTAAGCCAAGAGCTCCCTCTGCTGGTAGTGTGTGCTATATATTGCAGTGATGTGAAAGGGGCACTCCACCAAATGTTAACAAACCACTGACTCTCTGTCAGCTCATCTCACTAAAATTAGTTAGAGTAAAATTGGTAGTGTTGAATTTGAAAGATGCAATCAAATTGCATTCAACACATTGTTCCAGGCAGCGGTGGCAATATGATCGTAATGATGATCTTAGTCATTTTTGGAGCCCTCATAAACGATCACATCTGAAATGTATCCCGATGTGTCCTGAAACAGAATACATACAAATGTGTGTGTCATTTGCACTGAATGCCAGAGTGAAAGTCGTCGTAACTCCCACACACTGAGCGGTACGCTGTGCAATATATGGCAGCGTGACACGAGGCGGACCGATCGGCAGTTCGGCTATCTCCGTCAGTCACGTGACCCGCGTCGCCCTCCTCGTGTTTGTCCGTTCCCAAGTCTGCCTGTTAGACACAGAGGACGGTTAGCTACCACTGCGGTGCCATGTTCCGAGCCGTGTTCCGACTGTCAGCCACAGGGGCCCGGAGTCTGGCTCGGTCACGGGCCTGCTACACGGGTAAGTCCGCCGACTATCCGCTTGTACACGTCACTCGCGGAGTGAAAACGCCTCTGCCGCAAACCCGACTACAATGAGCTTTCCCGGCTAGCCACCTAGCTTAGCTACCTAGCTTAGCTTAGTAACGCTTCGGGTGACATTGAATTATTTTTGTGGTTTGCTAACATTGTGGTCTGAACCCGAATCTCTTCCAGTATTCCCGCCCTCATATAGCGTATTTAAAATCAAGAGCCGGGAAATGAACATGATAAAAAATGTCACGACCTTGCGATGACCCTCCTCGGTTAGTTCAAGAGCGTCAGTGGCCGCAGTTTATACGCAGCTGTTACATTAATTAAATGACAAATCCATCTTACCAGTTTTATAGGAGGCGTACGTGTTCTTCTTTTTAAGAAAGAAGATTCAAATAGAGAGCTGTCTAGTTTAATTTGTACTGTCAATATGATTTGTTGAGGAAATGAGATAGAAATGATATTGACTCTGCTGTATTTGTATGCTGGGATATTGTGGTATTACTGTTTTATCATTGCGAGATGAATTATAAATGAACAAATATGTAGGTCTAATACTCCATATCTTTTGAGTAGTTGTTAGTTGTTAGTTACATGACTTAAACCCGCTTTACTAAAGCACGTTTATAGACCTGTATCATATTCAAGTTCAAAGTCGGCGTCATAGTCGACTGAATGCAATGGAGCAGAACGTGTCCTTTGTTCATTAAAACGTAGTTTGTGCTGTAGCTTTCAAAGAGGAACAGTGCAGAGTTCACTAGTTTTAAAAGTTATAAACCCACATAGGGGAAGATAAGAACAGTTGTTAGAGGTCTTACAAAAAGGACGGTTTTACTCTTAAATCTAGTAAGTGAGAGTTTTCAAGACATTTGAATGAGAACAACTTGCATGATTTCACATTAAGCTTTTTGAATACATTGAATGTTCTTTTTTTTGGCCCCTTAAGTGTTTTAATTCTATTTGGCCTCAGACACACTTGGAAGAAACAAACAAAACGTTCAGTGACGTCACAAAAATGGGACCAGTGTTTAAGGGTAGCGGAAGGCGCCGTGCCAAATTCGTAATCTCGTTAATTTGTTTGATTTAAATATTTAGTCATTTTAAATGGATATTTGGCTAATTCCAGACATGCACACTTCTTGAGTTGCAGCTTGTGTTTGGGATTCTTCAAAAAGCATTAGAGCGGTCTAGTAGGAAAGGCATTTCATACGTTCTTGAAACTTCTTTGTTGTCGCCTATATGATATTTAAGAAGTCCTTTCTGTGTTCTGCGTCATGTATTCCAGCTCCGTTGGCTTCCAGATGTTACTCCCACGGCAAGGTGGAGTCAGACGAGGAGTTTGATGCCCGTTGGGTCACTTACTTCAGCAAGCCCGACATAGATGCCTGGGAACTGAAGAAAGGTGACGTTGTTAATACTTTGTACGACTATAACCTCCTATAGCAAAATGGGAATATTGTATGGGTTAGTGCTTAATCAGATTTAACATTTTATTTTTATTGCTGATTCTTCATAGTAATGTAGTTCTTCTTCCCTTAATTAAAGGCATGAACACTTTGATTGGGTATGACCTGGTACCAGAGGCCAAGATCCTGGATTCTGCACTTAGGGCTTGCCGGAGACTGAATGACCTGGCCAGTGCCATCCGCATCCTCGAGGCCGTTAAGGTGAGTGACCGACCCATATTAGCTTAATTTGTGGTCTGCCATAAACCTTTTCGTTGAACATTGCTTCAGAGGCCACAGCTTGAATGACAATTGCCTTAAGAGGAGCCGAGAAAATGCAGTCATTGCACCTTGATGACTCGTTTGCAGTTGTTGGCTGTGACAGAATGCTCTACATTTGTTTTTGTTTTTTTGCCTTTTGTAGGACAAAGCAGGCCCTCACAAAGACATCTATCCGTACCTGATCCAAGAGCTGAAGCCAACCCTGTCAGAACTGGGCATCTCAACACCAGAAGAGCTTGGCATTGACAAGTTATAGACCATTAAGGTGAGAATGTACTATAATACTACTATGTAACCTGTCTTTGGCCCAATCCCAGTCTCCCCAGTAACCCTGAACCCCCAGGGACTAAAAGGACATCAGGTGGTACGTGTGAGAGTCTGTGATAGATTTCAAGACCCTCTTTCCTTTAAAATAAGGTTTTACTGAATTTCGTCAAAATGGCTTGAATGATAAAATTAAATATTGATGAATATATTATTAAATATCAACTGATTTTGTGTGTGCCTCCCAATCTTTAAACCATATGTTTTAAATGTCTACACTACGATAATGACCGTCTGGACACACAAGTGCCGTCCTCTTTGCTTACCTCTTTTTACGTATCTGTGCTTTCACTGGTTATCTTATTTTTTAACATCATTATAATGATTAGTGGGCGTTTCCCTTGGGGCAAAGTCAACATCTCATGCTGATTATAGAAAAGGTTCATTAAGGGCTCAAAACGTCTTACGGTGTGACAGTGGGACAACACAAACCCTCATGGAGTTAGCGAGAGCGCCTGAAAGTCTGTGAGTCCATTAGGGTGGAGACTGTGATTGGGCCCAAGTGTATTGTTGCTGTCCAACACTGAATATACAGCAGATTATAAATGATGTCGTATATGACTTGGAAGCTAAATATATCCTGTTTTTTTCTCCTCAGCATCCCTGATTCGCTCCTGTCAAATATGTCTATATATTGTTAAATCCATGCTGTCCTATTGTGTACAAAATGGTGGACCTAATAAAGAAAACCAATAACTGAAGGATTTGTGTTGGATTTTCTTCAGGTAAATTGTTTTTGCTTTTTTAAACAATAAATACCAAGTTTATATAATGTTGCTCCATTCCATGTAGGAGTTGCCCGCTAATATGCTTAAAGACAGTTAAAGACTAAACCATTAGTTCCTTCACATGTCGTGTTCTATTTGCATATTTTGGTCAGTACTCTCATTTTCCACCATTTAACCCCTTTTTAAATACATTTATGTTATCAAACACTAAGAGCAGATGTGGATCAGTGATCAGCGCTTCCAGAAAGCATTAACCACAGAAACTACATTCTCTATTGAGTGTTATATTTGTAGTTTTATTATTTTCACATTGCAGAAAGTAATCTTACTTTAAGAGACAGTGGGTTTTATTCTCAATCACTAGATTGAGACAGGAAGGACACACATCTTTCTCCTGGCTTGTTCATTACCGCAGGAAGTGGGATAGCAAAAGTATCTACTGGTAATCCATTCAGCAGACAAAGCAGTATCTGAAAGTTTTGGCAAAATGTGTAGGTTTAGTAAATTAAATTCATCCACCACATTAAACGGGAACAACAAACCATCTTCACTGAGAAATCCACATGAACTGGATTTCAATTCTCTTGAGGTCTAACGTTATTTTCTTGAACTAAAAAAAAATACCGTGAAGAGCTTTTAGTTAGATTATATAGTTCAGTGACAAGAAACTACAAAAAAAACTACTGCACAAACCCAACATTGCTGTGGAATTATAGACTTGCTCAACACAGAACATGCGAGCAGCGATGGTTTTATTTTGTAGTGTTGCCCGGAAGTTGTACGCAGGCTGGCATATTAGCACAGCCGGCTAACAGACGCGCCTTCCTGCTCCTGAAGAAAAACAACAGAGTCCCGCGCCGGTGGGACTCCCGTCATCATGGCTGTGTTGTGGTGTAAATTGTGACAACTAACGCCAAGATGATGAACGACATCATAGAGGAACCGGAGAAGGACACCTTGCTCGAAGCGCAGTCGGAGCTACACGCTTTGTCGGTAATGTCGGATGAAGCTAATCCGGCTAACGCTAGCTGGTGAATAGAAAGTGGGAGGCTAGCTGACTAGCTTAGCATGAGGTTTTTGACAGTTGTTTAGAGAAGCGATGCTAATGCAACTAGTGTCGAGGGGGTAAGCGGTCGGTCGTCGTGCACTTAAATATATATAATTATGGTCGTACATCGCAGTTTGACTGAAGGATACCGACAAAATGAGCTGATACACACGTGAAGTTGATCTTCTTATAACGTTAGACCGATTGATCTGCTGGCAAAACGTGTTTCCCGACACAAGAAGAAATGAAACAGGATCCATTGTTTTGTTGCATTTTTGTTATTGTTTATTCACATAAGAGTTGAGCATAAATACTACTTTATGATGACAATCCTAGATTTGAGTCTTCCTAGTTAAGTGCCACGTGACGTAACGTTAACTGACTAAACTGTTGTCTTGTCAATTAACTTGGCGCCGCACGTGAATGTGAAGTACAGGTTATTCCTTATCATCCGACCGCAGGGCCCCAGTAATGGCACAAGACCTAAGACCGCTGACGGAGGGATCAGGCCGGTGGAGAAAAGAGGACCTTACATCATGTCCAGAGCTCCAGCGATCCACCTCAAACTACGTAAGTGTCACCGTGTGTCTGTAGATCAGAGTCCTCCTCTTGTTCCTCTGAGTTCAGCTGTGGTTCAAACTGTTGATCGAAGCACTGAAAGAAAAAAACAAGGACTGCTGTGTGCAGCCGGCAGGTCTGCAGACTGAGTCATGGGACAACCTCGTTGGTGGTGGTGTGTGTCTGGTCCGGTGAGATTGCAGGGACACCTTGCAAAAGACACTTGACACATGACATATTTCTCAGACTAAAGTCTCTGTTTGTTTGAAATATTTTCACAACTCCACCCTCCATGGAGAAGGAAACGGGAGGAAAAATAACTACTCCTGTTGTGGCAGTGTGTTTATTTATGGGATTTCTTAACCATCATTGACTTTTGGCATCTTTTTTACCACTTGCAACTAATGCTTGAATATACATTCCATAAAAAGAATAAGATAATAAATTGTTAGATTATTATGTTTTCGTTTTTTTGTGAAAATAATTTTGACAAGTTCTAGCAATGGAAAAACTGTTTTAAAACAGTCTTCTCAAGAGGCAGCTGATAGGAACAAAATGTACACACATCAGCAGGTGTGCAGATGCACGGTTTCAAATAATCTACACAATAACAGTAGAGAAAAGAAAATCCAGTATATGTTTTGTTGTCTGATGTTTCGTTGTCTGATCTTAATACTAGTTGCACCATACAGAACACTTAGATTTATGTATTTGTTGATCTCAGTCCGAAACTCAGTGATTTCAGTTATTCTCAAAGACCTTTCTGAGAATGTGTGTTTGTGTGGACGTTTTGTGAACCTCAATTCCTACACTCCGACTCAGACTATTCTTTAAAGTTACACTTTAAAGGTAGCACAATAAACTTTGTATGTGACTTTCAGCTTTGAGTCTCATCCAGTCAGCTCCAGTTGGCACAACAAAAATGTTTCTTCCTTCCATGCAGAGAAACACAGGGAGATGGTGAGAAAAGCGCTAAAGAAGAAAGCCCTCTCGCCGGGTCCTCCAGTGACGCATCAGCCCCGGCAGGGAGCCAAGAGGTACGAGGAGGAATGAGCAAGCCGCTGTGAGCTAAGAGCACGGGACGGGATGAGGGGGTAGCGGCATGGATTTCACAGTTTCCGGTTCTCCTTTTAGGACGGTGAAGTACAACAAGGGCTACGCAGCTTTGAGTCAGCACGCCGAGGACGCTTTGGTTGCCGTGGACTCAAACAGGTAAGGTGGCACCAGGTATGGAGGCAGAGTCCCTCCCCTTTCTTTCCTTTTTTTGTGAACCCGCACAATGTATTGTGTTGACAAGCTAGTTAGCTAGCCTAGCTTTATGTATATTTATGTGTCTTTCTACGCATTTTGACCTTACTTTACGCAAGAAGTTGACGTACTCATTGTGATGTCACCCACTGGTTTTTGGATGGATATTTCAAACCCTTGAGATCTTGCATCACGGACGCCGATGTTGTTTTTCCCCGCCGCCAATGAAGGGAAGTTATAAACCGTGTATACGGCACCGAACTGTCAATCACAAGGTAGCCACGCCCTCTAAAGCAGACGCCGCTTTATGGTCTAACGTTTGACTCTAAAAGGATCATAATTTACGAAATGAATGTCGTGCTGTATCGAAGGAGACTTGAAAGTAGAGATTGAGAAATAAACTCACATTAACGATGTTTACTGAGGGAATAAATCAAGTGAGAAGTCATTTTCTCTTTCACTTGTATACAATCTGACTGGTTGGTGAAACCACAGGAGTCGCCTCCTAATGGTCAGTAGAGAGAAGGCAAGTTTTAAAACACTTTCATTACGTTTTTTTACACGCTCTCATACTTAGACCGTTTTAAGACAAAATATGGCTTTGTTTACATGAAAAACATTTTTTAAATATTGGTTTAATTCATTGTGCAATACTTTCCTCTCATGGAAGACTGTTGTAGACTGTGAAAAAGTAGTCTGAGGTTAGTCCACCAAAAGTGGCAGGACTTTCTATACAGGTGACGGCATAGTTGAATTCCTTCTAAATGCAGATAACTAAGGACTGAAATACTAGATCTGTAAAATCATGTCATCTGGACGTGTTCTAATTTCAGTTCAAAAGTTTTCCAAGCATAAATCTCCAGTTCACACACACCGTTGTCAACATCAGAATGACAGATCCTACCGTGCTTGTCCTTACAGCGATGAAGAGATCGATTTTGAGCAGTATTCCTCGGGATACTCTTCAGCTGAGGTGAGTTTGCTCCTCGGGATCTTCGCCCGCATGCTTTGGAAATCTTGTTCACCCCACAGTGTGACCGGCTGTGTGACTACAGCTGTGTCGGTGAGCAGGAATCTGTTTTTGGGCCATCGAGATACGTTCAAAGATCATTTCGTCAGGGTTTCCACACCATAAAAATAAAAAGAATGCCTTGCCATGTCGTTCATATGATCGCAAACATTCCTTCAAATTAGGAATGGTGGAAACATGGCTCTATTCAGAGTGGCATGGCAACGCTACAACAACAGAGAGGGACATATGTGTTGACCGTGCATGCTATATAACTTAAATAATCCACTGACTGCCCAATGAAATGAGACGCAGTACATGCACGTCCCGTTTCAGTACAGAATCCCTTTGTCTTCATTTCTAAAGCCTCGCATTTAGCCAAAGAGGGAAGTTGCCGAGATGAAAGAAATGCGTCACTTTTATTTAAGACGCTGTGCTACTTTCAAGTCCCTGTGTTGTCATTTAGATTTGGGGATTTGCGTGAGGAGGCGGTTTGTTCTGAAAACGGAACCGGCCTCTTTTCCGTCTTGGCGCTACTGTAATCATTGGTAACTTCTGTGGCTTTGTACACAACATAACTGCTGGGAAATGAAGTTTGAAGCTCCCATTCTTGAATATCGTATCTTAAAGAGGCCGTAACGTGTGTTTTGTTTGAGTCACATCAACCGGCTCAGGTGTTCACGGGGTAAGAAGAAGTCCCTTAATGAGACGTGCACCAGGTTCAACCATCTTCCTCTGGTGGGTGTGTGTGTGTGTGTGTGTGTGTCTTTGCTCTCCAGGTCCATCCTGATTTAAGCAAGCAGCTTCTCCAGGACGGCTACCGCCTGGATGAGATCCCCGACGACGAGGACCTGGACCTGATCCCTCCCAAATCCATGGGCTCCTCCGTGTGCTGCTGCGCCGAGGGCCCGTCCTGCTCCACGCAGTGATGCCCGGGGGGGGGCGCTGCGCCCATCCTTTACACCAGTTCCCGCCCCTGACTTCAGTCACCGGTGCCTGAGGCCGTGTCTCTGACCGGGCCCCTCCGCCGCTGTGCTGCCCGAGGACTTCCAGCTCTGAGGCCAAACTCCCCCGTCGATGCAGCGAGATCGCACAAGAACAAGCCTTATCCACTGTGACCTCCAAAGCGGGACCTAGTTTCCTTTTTATTGAACCTATTGAGATGCTTACTGTGCCCGCGCTCCAAATAGAGCGGTCGTGCACATTATGGGATGTGCCCTCGTTGACTTAGTGGGTGGTTCGTCTTTTCCGTCTCATGTTCCAGCTATTAACACTATAGATAAAGGACCCTCACGTGATCATTAACATTCCCTATTGTTGCATTAACTGGATGTTTACCTGTTTCGCTTCCATGTATCTCTCCTCAAAACGCCTAGTTTAACAAAATGAACAACTCCATTCTGTGTTTTTTTTTTTTTATTAGAAGCAGATAACTAAATGTAAATAGGTCCTCAGATGATTGAGATTCAATTCATTTATTTTTTTCAGCTATCTAGAAAAACCTGAACTAAAGTGTAGAAGAGAAGGCTGACTCAGTTATTCTCTGCTCCTCCCATAGTATTTGCTCTCTGTCTGTGAAGACAAAGAGTTTTATTACTTTTTTTTACAGGCCGTCGTTGAGCAAACGGCAACATACCAGGAAAAAAGTCCCACGAGCGATCCCCCGTCTGCAAGAGCGCCAAATGTTACACTGCCGTGTAGGACCCAAAACATGCTGGCAGATGAGCTGCTAATGTCCTTTTGACGGATTAACCGATGTGTTGTACAATCTTTGTCTTGTAGAAAATGAGTTTAACCCCTGAAACATGTTCAAGAAAAAAGCTTTTACAAAAAAGGTTGAAAGTGAACTATATGATGTCAGATCCCCGACAAAGGGATTGTGTCCTTTTTAAGGCGTATGTGTGTAGTTACAGGACCAGTCAAAGGTTTGGACACTTTCTCATTGAATTGATTACTTTTCCTGCGTCATCTCAAACACATCAAATGTGTGTCTGTGGAGGCTGGATTTGAGTTACAAGGCTTTATATATTTATTAGTCTATTAGTTACTGCTCAAAACCAGTAAGCCACATTTGCATAAGGATTAACGCATTTGGATACCCTTGTTATTTGCTGCCCATATTTGCATACATCCGTTTGTGTTAGAATTATTTTCTTTTTTTGTTGTTGCGACGTGTCGATTGCCGTTTTCCACACAATAGACGAGGATGTGGTGAACATGGCAATCCTTTTCTTTTCCCACTTCAAAAGATGTATGTGTTGTTACTCTGTTTCAGTCTGGGTCATATTTTATGTTTTGAACTGAGCGTTAAATGTCCTAGCAAGTGACGGCACTCACTGTTTTCAATGAGATTCTTTATGTTCGTGAGGAAAGTGACATTTTCTGGTAGGAAAAAAGTGGGAGCACTTGATTTGTACAATTCACACATTTAGTTGAAGACTTTGCGAGGAAAAAGCTTGCTGTCACACATCATGAATGATCCGTTTCTCCTCTGCGGACTCTGTCGTCCGAATGTGGGGGATTTAGGAATAAAGGCGGATTCTGCTATTACACCAAGTGTGAGTCACTTGATAACAAGCGTGAGGTAAAATGCTTTAAATGCAAGAGCTGTATTGACCCCTGACCCCGACCCTGGCTCTGCACGATGTTCCTCTGTACACAAATATTGCACTTGACACCAGTGGTTAGTAGCAAGTACACTTGACTCACCTGTACTATGCAACTATTGGGACAATCCGCTTGTTATGCAACATTGTTATGCTATTGAGTGCTACATGCAATGACTTTATTTTATGATGATAAACACTTTTTTAATTATTTGATTGTACTGTTTATTGGTTCAAAATAAAGATTATTATCGATACTTCCATGTGCAATAACTGTCTAAGGAGTATCAGGAGAGCATTTAAATTCTTTGGCCATTGTAAATATAGTCGTCATTGTTGCCACAAGGGGGCAGCATGAAGCCATGCTTCGCCCCCAGTGAAATGCTGCACTTCACTAATACAATGAGGGGTTTTTGTATTGCTTTATTTAAACATTGCACTGTAATCCCTACCATATTATTAAGTATGCAGACATTACCATTTGACAATTTTGCTTTAAGCTTCTTTATTTTCTTTTTAAGATTCGCTGCTATTAACGTCCCTTTTAAGTAACGCACACCTACATCTGTTGATCCAGCCTGCGCAGCGCCGCATCGTCAAACGAAGGCAGGTACGATCGATTACAGGTGAATCGATCGGACGGAGGCTCGCGGAGGTGTGAAGCCAGTGAGGCGCGTCGCCGTCGCTGGGCGGGCCTAACGCCGCTGTGCGCCGCGCGGGGGGTGTCAATGGAAGGGGAGGAAGAGAAGAGAGAAACCACCGAAGGGAGTTACCTCCGCGCTCTCCGAGATATGAGATCGGGCCGTTTTCCAGCCGGTCCCCTTTCACGTTAACGAAGAAAATCACTGGGAGGGCGGGGGAGAGAAAAAAAAGAAGAAAAAAGACCCGAAACACGCAGGTAGAGAGTTCGAAGAGCGCTTCTCCGCCGGCGGGTCAGTCGGTTTCCACGGCGCGAGCACAGCCTCTCTGCCCCGCGCGCGTGTGCGTGTTTACAAGCGAGTGCCACGGGCGAGGAAAGGACGAGAAAAGACACGGAAGGAAGGAAGGAAGGACGGTAGGAGGGATGGTGGACAACTCGAGCGGCAGTAAGGCACATATGGTGAGTGGCGGTAATGCCCGGCGCCGTTTTTCCACCTTTTTCCTCTGACGTGTTCGGCCTCCGGTAGACGCGGTGCGGCGGCCTCACTTAACGGGAGCTCGTGCGGCAGCGAGAGCGCGTTAAAGCGAGGAGAGGGCAACTTTCACGCTAAGTCGACCTTAAGGTACGTCGCCTTTTTCCCCCTCTTCTTCTTCTCTCCACTCGTTGTAACGCTGCGAAGCCTCGTTGAAACGAGTGCCGCTAACGTTCCGCCGTCGCTCGTCGCTGCGGCAACGCAAAGTAAAGCCCGTAAACGTGACGTTACGCACGTTATCTACGCGTCTCGAGCATGTGGCAGCTAACGGGAGCTAACGCGGAAAAAGGTGTTAACTTTTTTCCCTTAAAGGGAAAAAAGTTTTAACGTTGTCTTTCTGGTCGGTCGTTGTTTGTTTGTCTTTGTTAAGACGTTCAGTTTATAACTTCTTCACTTAGGAATAAAGCTCCAGCTGTTTGCGCTCATCTCTCTGGTTCGGTAACGTCCGCTAGCGTGAATTATAGCCTCGGTCATGAGTCACAACGTTTTCAGCAGTTTGGGGCAATTTTATACCTCTTGGTTTGTTAAAGGCGTTTGGACGTGTATGTTATGGCTTCGATGTGATAAATATCCGTACTACTCCTGAGAAAAGTCCTAATAAAACTGACTCCGCTGGTGAATAACTCAATTTTGTGGTGTTAACGTGTCGCTGTGATCTGCGCGGACTCACTGAAACGTTTTCTTTCGGACGGATAGTCTTTTTTTCTGGCCTTGCTACTTTGTCATGTACCCAATGACATTACTGCATGTTCCTGCTTCCACTTCCTCACATGCTCAGGTCTTTAAGATCAACCGGGAGGATCTTGTGTCTATTAGCAAATATAATCCAATTGAGCAACCTCCTCATAGTGGACCTGACGGGAATTAAACTGTTGGATTCGTCCTGTTTTGGGTTCTCTACAAAAACGGCTCCTACCTGTGATTACTGTGTTTTTTTTGTTGGTGGGTGGGGGTGCATGTGCCTTACATGTGTTTCATTTCATCCTGTGTAATGAGATAAAGGGCTAATTAGATTTCAGCATGTCATCCGTGCCTCCTTCCCTTCCTCCCACAGCCCAGCATGTCTCAGGAGCCTGGCGTGGCCTTTCCTCAGAGCGCCTCTACGGGGGGGATGAAGCTGGAGGCGGTGATGGAGCAGCTCCAGCGCCAGCAGCAGGCCCGACTGGAAATGGAGCGCAAGGAGAGGAAGCTGCGAGAGGCCCACATCATGTATGCTCAGCAGGTCGCCGCCCAGCAGGCCATCCTGGCGGCTGCCCGGGCGTCCGGGGCCAGCTTCATGGGCAAGGGCCTGGCCGGGGTGGTCCCCGGCGTCGGGTTGCCTCCTAGGGTCTCCAATCAGAGCAGTGTGGACTCCGAAAGGGAGGACGACGAGGACAGAGGCCGGGATTCTGGGGACGAGGACGACGACAACGAGATGATGGAGGGCGACGAGGGCAGCGACGAGGACGAGGGAAGTGCCAGCGGCCTGGAGTTCCTCCGCAAGCAGACCCTGGCGCTGCAGCAGAGCGCGTCCCGCATCCCGGCCCGGCCGTTTGGCAGTTACGCCGCGTCGGCGCCCCAGAGGGCTGCGTCCCCACCCATCAGAGTGAAGCAGGAACCCGACGAGGGCCTGTCTCCAGCGGGGCCTCAATCTGCTACCTCTCCAAATGGACAGGCCGACTGGGGCTTCGATGATCACTTCAGACAGGTTAGTGCCCCCCCCTTTTTTTTGTTCCCCAGGCCGCCCCATTTCCTCCTTTCTACTTCAGTTCCTAATCGGGCCTTTGCCCAGTTATTAAACCAGAGCGAGCTTCTTGTCGTATAAATTGGGATGCGTCTTCTCCCAATCCCAGGCGTATTTTAAAAACGCGTTTCATTGTGGCCCTTAAAGGGATACGGCCCCCTGCTGTGAGCGACTGCTCATCTTAACGCTGCGACGATCCTCCTCAGCAGTTTATTCGCGAGACAATACAAATCTCCTCGCATGGTTGACCGCTGATTGGCTTCGGTGGCTGAAAATCCCCCCCTAAGTGAGTCCTGGCAGTGGGCCAGGCTGGGGCGCAATTTGTTCACACTCGCTAGTTCTCTCCCTCCCGTGTGAGTGTGTGTGTGTGTGTGTGTGTGTGTGTGTGTTGCTCCTGGCACTCTGGTTTGGCTCTGATCCAGGCAGCGGAGTCGGCCGGTGTAGGACCGCTGCTGTGAGGCTGTGGGTGGTTGGTCGGGTCAGCACGAGGATTTTGGGTGGGTGGGAAGTTCGGATGTAATACACAGTAGCAACCCCGCCCCCCCTCCTCCACCCACCACCAATCCGAGAGTTTCGGCTGTGTGCCAAGTGCACTTTCCCTTGAAGGTAAATATTGCCTCAGCACAGTGTTACGAAACGCTGGAATGCCAACGGAGCCAAGCCGAGTAACACGTGGTTGGGCAGCGTGGCATGAGGCGTAGCAGGTTGAAGAGCTCAGCAGCAGCAGCATGTGGGTGATATAAAAAGCTGTAGTTGCACAAGAGCAGGCAGGGGACATATCTGAGCTTGATTAGTGGGCTGAGGGTGCTGCGCTATCATGTGTCTGGATTTTATTGCTGTCTATTTAAAGGCAAATGTCTTTGAATGGCCCTTCTCTAGAGCACATTTCCTAATTCAGGGAAGGGAGTAGTATAGAGGTGGGAGGAGGGGCAGTTTTATTATAGTTGTATATCAACCAGGGCCTCAGCCCTTACAGGGATTTGCTGGAGATTATTTAAAAACGCTGCATTATCATCAGTATTGTGTGGAGAGTGAAGCAGTATTGTACTGCGAGATGGCCGGGCTCTGTTTCAATGTCGAGCAGAAAATAGCAGCAGCAGAGTTGTAGCTGAACAGGGCCCTATCTGCGGCCCGGTGTCTTTTATTAGGAGAGGCGGGCCAGGCCTGTGGTTTGGGGGAGGCATTATGGGATGAGAATTGGCCCTTTTTTTTCTTTCTTTTTTTTGTTTCCTCTCTTTTATCTTTCCTGTCATTATGTCAGCTCTGCAGTATTTAATGACGGCTCATCTCTTCAGGCAGTTTCAGGTTGCACTGCTGGAGGGGGGGAGGGGGCAGTGGAGGCAGGGGAACAGTTTTCTTTCTTTTTTTTTTTTGATGTCATTGTCTTCAAGAGACGAGTCTGGCAGATGCCGCGAATACCGACCACCTTTAATAATGCGGGCAGCAGCTCATTTATTATATTCTGAAAAGCGGTGACGGAGGCCGGGGGGGGGGGATGGCTAACACGAAGGACCATTTACATCTCATGCGTCCAGTCAGCCTTTTTACCCAAAGCACCCGAGGTGTGTGTGTGTGTGTGTGTGTGTGTGTGTGTGTGTGTGTGTGTGTGTGTGTGTGTGTGTGTGTGTGTGTGTGTGTGTGTGTGTGTGTGTGTGTGTGTGTGTGTGTGTGTGTGTGTGTGTGTGTGTGTGTGTGAAGCCGTGAACACTCTGACAGAGACCCCGCCGGTGCGCTGGATCCCCAGCGGAACGTGCAGAGAGTGGCTGCTGATTTCGTCCGTAGCAGCTTGAAGAGAGAAACAGGATGTTCATGTCCTCTTGCTAAATCACCAATCCATGAAGCCACTGAAAAGGGATGATTGCAAAGGTCACATGTAGTTCCTGAACAATGTGTGGAACCTGAGGGGCGCCCTGCAGACTAATGGCAAACAACCAGCCCGAATTGCTGAAGGAGCAACATAATGCTTAGTCGCCGGCAGCGACGCTCCCCTGACACTTGTTTGATTAGCCATGTCTCTTAGTCCTGTACTCCTAAGTGTTTTGAGTGGCGAGGGGGCCCGTGCAGGTCAGATGGGGGTGGACGGACACGGGTAGCCAGTGCTTTTATGTCAGTGATGCATGTGCGGTGACCTCAGCCCTGTCATTTAACAGCAGAGTAAATAATTGTCAAACAAGGGGATGGACAAAGGCGTCGCAGAGAGCGAGCGCTAGGGTGGGCGGCCAGCCGGCCTCAGCACTTTGGTCACCCCCGCGGTGGGACAGAGGTTGGGTGACCCCTGTAATACAACCCACCCCACCCCCGCGCTCCGCTTACAAACAAACTTACACTGGCCCCTCGGCGCGTCGCTATAATCCCTCGGTGATTAATTGTTTTAATCGTGCCTGCGGAACACGGATTGTGTCTTGCGTTTCACTCTTATGAGCGTGACAGAGCGCCAGTTGGATGGTTTGTTTGCTGGAACTGAGAGAGAGAGACGGAGAGGGTGCGTGCGTCTGTTTTGGCACTCCACTCTTTGCGCTGGTTTGGCTGTGAGCCAGGTAGCGGAGTCGTGCGTGAGTGTGTGTGCGCGTGTGTGTGTGCGCCCGCGCTTTCCGAAGAATGAATGTAAAGTGGGCAGATTTGCTGTTTTCACCGCGAGAAGATAATGACAAGGCAAGAGGACAAAGAAACTGACACGAGTACATTACTTATTGCATCGCGTGGCTGATTAATACGTATCAGGGGTTCTTGGCAGTTGACTGATCGGTGGCTCCTTTTGAATTCCTCCGTATTCAGGCATTGCATTAGTGCTCTTAGTGTGACTGACGTCCTGTGATTCCATGAAGGAAACTGGTTTGAATGCTTCCCAATTCCTTTCCATTTTTCAGCCAATAACGCAAGCCGTTTTTTGTTGTACGTGGTAATGCATTTGATAAGATCAATTACGAGGGGCTTGATGATTTCCCTCCCCCCCCTACAGGTAGACCCCAATGACAAACTACAAATCTTGCTGTTACATTACTGAAAACAAGGCATAAGTCAGTGCAAAAGCAGCACTTGGGCAGAAACTAAGAAGGCCCAGCCAGTCCACAACTCTGGTGGGGGGGGGGACGTCCGTTACTGCCGAGGTTTGCCACGCGTGAGCCCTGCCTCGGCGGCTCGAGCACTGAGGCCTGTCTGTTGAGCCAGCGCTGTTGCATAATTTAGCTGTCGCCCCAGCAACACGTCAGCCAGGAAGTGGGGAGTTGAGCGGCTGCAGCGCTGGGGATCAATACCGTGTGGATTGTGTGCAAGCTTTTAGAGGCAGGAATGTTTGCCCTTGTTTTTATGGTCCATTTATGATGAATGAGGATGACATTGTATTTAGCAGACGGGCTCCAGTTATCACTCTGACGGTGGTATGTGTAACAAATCTACCCCCCCCCCACGGTGGATCAGGCCACCCACTGCAGCGTATGATGGGGAGGGACGCCGGGTGTGTGAGACCAGCTCACAACAGTCTCACCGCGGCTCGACGTTGTGCCGCTGCGGGAGTCGGGGGGCCTCGCTGCCCGACGTGCATGCTGCTTGTACACCCACCTGATCTGCTTTCTACTCCCCTATCTGTCAATGGGGTTTTAAATGGTGTACTTAGTCTTATTCCGTTCACTGGACTTCCTGTTAGGGCTAATGCAATAAGACCCCTGTTGGTACAAACGGCTTGCAAATGGAGGTAGTTGAGATGAGGCGTAATGAAGAAGGCCTGCGTCCATTAAAACATGTGGCAGGGCTGGAGGAAGCGCGACTGTGAAGCGTGAAAACCTGTAAACTGTTGAGCTACACAGGGAATGGAAAGTCTCAATGTAGACTACTTCCTTCTGCTGCCGACCCCAATACCAATGCTTTCACATCCCAATGACCGCATTGTTCTACGCAAGAGACGACGTATCAAAGAATTGCACAGGAAAGTAATAGAGAAGTGGCCGTTAGGCGCCAAGTGAAATGAGATGATTTATACAAAAGCTCAGTTATTGTTCAGCATAGTTTGAAGGACAATAAAAGGAAATTTAGTTGTGGTTGAAAGAAAGGGAATGAAATTGGAAACCAAAGTCCCTTATTTCTCTTCTTGATGTACTCTCCCATGTATTTATTAATGCTCTTTTTTAAAATGTCCCTTTAATTCCTCACACGATTCTTTGTTATGTGGATGGCATTTGTGACGAGTTGTCCGGACACTAAATGGTTAACTTGATTTCCCCACTTTAGTTAGGCCCTGGTCTAGGACACTGGCCTTGATACATATTACGCCGCCTCATTTTAACCCCCAGTTTTCCCTTTTTAACGTTTTGGCCGTGTGTGTGTCTCTACCATCATAGATGAGCCGTACTTGTTTAACCAGAACAACTGTCATACGCATTCAGGTTTGTGCCGCAAGCACTTTTTTTTCAGTTGTTCTTTTCCAGTGATCTGCCTGGGAGATTAAGACTTGATGAACGATGAAATGTCAAATCGTACTACTACTTATCTTTCTAATAAAATGCCGAACTAAATGATATTTTTTTTGATTGATTTTCTTTGCTTAAGGCAGCCAGACCGGTACAGCTATGGATGAATTTGCGTCACAATGAAAACGAATAAGGCCCTGCACAACACAACAAACGTATTTATTCAAATAGCCCAGCCATTGACCTGTGTATGGTATTGATCATATTCTGATGTATTCATTGAAAACTAAGCTGGTGACATTTCTGGTAACCACCAAATATTCATTTGGATATTAGAAATCTCTAACATCATATAGTGGTGTAGCAATGTTTATTTCTATTTTCGTATCCCTAAGTGCAAATCTGCTGGCTCAAGTGTCATGAGCTTGCTCAACCCAGATTAACATTTTATGCTTTTTTTCACATGCAAATGATGGTTTCATACTTGTCTGAAATAATAGTGTAGAATGTAGTCGTGCTGGCACAGACCAGTCGTCTTTTTGTGCTGACCTGCCCTTAACA